ATACACACACACACACAGAAGCTATACACCTAGAAACTGTTCCTGAATTGCTTCCAGATGGTATCAGATACAGATTTAACACTTAAAGCATTCTGGAAAGATCATTACAATGTCCTTTCCTGTGCGGGGTTAACTGAGAAATCCTGGGCCAGGGGGCTGGGGATTTAGCTCAGCGGCACAGCGCCTGCCTGGCAAGCGCGAGGTCGTGAGTTCGATTCCTGGTACTGGAGAAAAACCAAAACCAAAACCAAAACAAACAAAAAAAATCCTGGGCCGATATCTCTCTAAAGGACACTGAGATCTGCCTGGAAGAAAGTGTGACCTAAAAATATATAGGACAGAAACTTTAAACGCTGTGTAGCCGGGTGTGGTGGCACACACCTGTAATCCCAGCACTCGGGAGACTGAGGCAGAAGGATCGTTGCAAGTCCGAGACCAGCCAGGGCTACAAAGTGAGCTCAAGGCCGGCCTGAACTGCATAGTGAGACCCTGTCTCAAAAAGACAAAAAAAAAAAAAGAAGTCTATGTAGAGGAGCCTGAGCCTTCCATCGACCCTGTGGTGGACGACAGTGTTGCCACAGCAGAATCCATGGGCTTGCAGGTACAGTGGTGATGTGGAGGAACCAGGGGAGGAACACGCAGAGGAACTGTCTACAGGGCAGCTTCTGGCTGAGCAACAGAGAATGCAGCTGAGGAGCTTTCTGAGGAGGAGGGGGAGTAGCAACAATCAGTGCAGCAAAGTTCTTCTGAAATAAAGGAAATCCTGAAAAAAACGGACAGAGCTACAAACGTTTGCAGAGAAGACACGCCCAGACAGAAAAAGCGAATCATTGCGTTCACTTGCTTCATGACAGTGTCATGTCATACTACAGAATAGTGATAAAGAAAAGACAGAAACAGACAACCTTAGACCAGTTTTTTTTTTAGACCAGTTTTCAGTTCTGAGAAAGTTGAGACCTAGTGAGCCAGAGACAGGTCCTAGTGGGTTACAGACTCTCCCAAGGAGAGAAAGGGCGCCAGAGAACCAGATTCCTGATGTTCTTATGGAAACGGACTCTCACTCCAAACAATAGCCACCTTCCGTTTCATCCTCCCTTCCTGCAAGCAAAGATGCCAACTCGACTGGTGAGCACAGTAGGAAAATTATTAGTGTTTGTGAAAAATTATGCACATTATACAACCTTTTATTTTTAAAAGTTTAGTTAAGGGATGCCTTGGGAAGTTCACAACTCATTATGGGTATTTCCATTATTTCTTATGGGAAAAATAGTCTTGACTTACAACCAGCCCTTGCAAACGAATTGAGTTCGTAAGTCAAGGGTCCACTGTATTTTCCAGTATTCCTCCCATTAACCTAAACTCCAAAAAAAACCACTATAACTATCTCAGTACTTAACAACAATATGCATGAGAAAGACTTCCTTAATTCTACCAAAATAACAAAGACTGAGTAAAAATCCTTACACTGCCTTTCTCTTTGAGAGCATTGGCTAGGTTGCAGTAAGCATCAGGAAAATGAGGTTGCAGTTCAATAGCTCGCCTGTAGGTGTCTATTGCCAGATCTATCAGGCCTTGCTCATAGTATACACAAGCCAGGTTGCCATGGACCACTGCATGATTTGGACTCAAGCTTAGGGCACGAAGATAAGCTGCCACAGCTCTGTAAATAAAACACACACACACACAAAAATGCAACTAATTTTGACTGGATGCTTTGTTATAGTTAATTCATGCTATGCTATATAAAAATATAGTAATTAACTGTAACTACAATTCATGCTATAATAGACTTAACCGCAAACTAAAATTACACCATTATGAAACGTATTTTTACCCTGAGAAACTGTTCATTCCCACATAATAGGCTTCCCTTTCACAACAAAAAGAAGTTGGAAAATCCAAATTTAGCAGCTTTAAAAATCAGATCAAAGGAGTAATTTAGCCTAAGAGATAATAATTTCAACAGTTTTATAATACAGGAAATTTCAACTGAACTCCCAGTGAGAAGGATAAAAGCTTTCAGGAAAGGCAACAAGGAAAAGTCAGGCAACAGGACCTATAAATTAAAGTAGCAAACATCAGCAGCAGGGAAAAACAACATACCAGAAAAGGAAATGTGTGTTCCAATGGGCTACTGTCATTATTTCTCAGTCCAAACTCTCAATGTAATAAAGACCCAAGAAAATTTAATAGAGCATTCTCTCACCTGTCAAAAATGCGTGCCTCTTTCAATACATTTCCTAAATTGATATAAGCATCCAGAAAATTTGGGTCAAGGGTGACAGCCTAAAAATTGTAAGAGAGTTACTTAAAACAAGTTAGGCTTTTGTCAGAGTAACTTCCTATTTACAATTTTTAATTCTTAAATCATTTTAGATCTCTAATTACTTTTTTTTACAATAATTAAAATCTTATTTTATTCGAAAAACCTAATTATTTATTTAGCTTCCTCTCACTATTTACAAATCTCAATGTCATCAAAATAACTTCACCGAATGAAAGTATACAGCTCAGTAGGGTACTTGGCTAGCATGCACAAGAAGCCAAGTTCCATCCCCAATACCACAGAAATAAAAAACTTCTCACATCACATCTTCTTGTGAGCAAAATGGGTCCTGAAGAGGAAAATAATTAAAAACTGGATCTCCCGAATTTACTGAGCTGAACACTTCCTATGACTGGCCCTGTTACTCACAATTAGTCTAATTCTTCCAAAAAATAACTGCAGGCTAAGTGTGGTGGCACACACCTGCAATCCCAGTACTTGGAAGGCTAAGGCAAAGAGGATTACTATAAATTCAAGACCAGTCTGGGCCACACAGTGAGTTCAAGGGCAGCCTGAAATACGAGGTAAGACTGCAGAGAGAGAGAGAGAGACAGACAGACAGACAGACAGAAAGAAAGAAAGAAAGAAAGAAGGAGAGAGAGAAGGGAGGGAGGGAGGGAGGGAGAGAGAGAAGGGAAGGAGAGAGAGAGAAGGGAGGGAGGGAAGGAGAGAGGAGGGAGAGAGAGAGAGAGAAGGGAGGGAGGGAGGGTGCAAGTAAGGGAGGGAGGGAGGGAGGAAGGAAGCAGATAAGAAAGCAGGAACAAGCATGAAATGCTGAATGAAATGAAAATACATACAACTAGATACTCATCAGTAACATGTATTACATCAAGGAAATACTAAATGATGTCTCCAAATAGTTCTGAAACTGTCCTAAAATACAGCTGAGTATACCTAGGACAGTGATTCTCAGGCTGGCACTATATTAAGAATTTATCTCCTGAAAAGACTTCTGGGCACTATCACAGGCTAGTTAAATCAGACACTCTGAAAATGGGGTCAGGACATCCCTATCTAGTCCAAGTTTCTCGTGCAATGAAGGTAAGAAAGCCATTGATACTCTAGGGGCTAAAGTATAGCTCAGTGGTAGAACGCTCACTCGCCTAGCATGCATGAGGCCCTGGGTTCCATCCCTAGCACCAAGAGAGAAAGAGACCCTTTGAGTGTGGTAAATACAAACTTTAATCAAAACACTGAAAGGATAAAGATAATGGGTAATAGTAAAAATATTAAAGATTCGTCGGCCACAATGGTGCACGCCTGTAATCCCAGCACTCAGGAGGCTGAGGCAGGAGGATCCTTGTGAGTTCAAGGCAAGCCTGGGCTACAAAGTGAGCTCAAGGCCAGCCTGAACTGCATAGTGAGGCCCTGTCTCAAAAAAAAGACAAAAAAAAAAATTAAAGATTCCTAAAGAACACAACTCTAAAAGAAAAGGCATGACGCACTCAATTTTGTCTGTAGTGATAGATGACTACTCTAAAAACCTTTTTAACTTTTTATTATGGAAATTTTCAAACATACACAAAAGCAAAGGAATACAACAAAACCTAAGGTTTCTGTTACCCTTCTTCAACAACTGATAAATCACATTCAATTTTATTTAATCTATATTCTTTCTAATCTACTCCTTCCTTCACTTTCCAGATTATTTTAAAGCAAACCCCTGACATCTCATTTCATTTGAAAATATTTCAGTATATACCCCAGAAATGAGACAAGAATGCTTTTTTTCCCCTGCAATATAACCACAATACTGGCGGGGCATGGTGGCACACGCTTGTAATCCCAGCACTCGGGAGGCTGAGGCAGGAGGATCGTTGTGAGTTCAAAACCAGCCTGGGATACAAAGTGAGCTCAAGGCCAGCCTGAACTCCAGTGAGACCCTGTCTCAAAAATAAAAATAAATAAATAATTTTTTTAAAAAAACACAATACCATTACCATGCCCTTTAAAAATGACAGTGGTTTCTGAACATCAAATATTCCTTCACTAGTATTTCTGAGTCAGAATCCAAGTAAGATTCACAAAATTTGTGAACATGTTTTTCTGAGTTTCTTTCAAACCTTTAAAATTAATTTAAGCCTCCATTTTTATTCCTGCAATTTGTTCAAAAAAAAAAAAAAAGGATTACTGTCCTATATAGTTCATATGGTAATTTGGATTTTGCTGATTGCATTCCTATGGTCTCTCTTCCCTGCCCCATGTATTTCCTATAAACTAGAAACTTAAATCTGATTTGGGCTTTTAGTTTTTGCAGTGCTAGAGATGAAATGAACCCAGGGCCTACCTAGTCCATCACGCTACTACGCTATACCCCCAGATTTCCCGTTTCTTTATACAAGACTACTTTACTGATGAAATTTAGTTCTATCACAAAATATATAATGCCAGACTGCATCTTTTTTGCCCATGCTAAATGCCTCAATCTACTAATGATGACATTCTATCTCACTCCTCTATCTATTAGCTAGACTTTTTAATATTTTCTTTTAAATAGTGTCTTGCTATGTAGTTCAGACTGACCTTGAACTCGTGGGGATCCCCCTATGTAGAAATTTCTACACAGAAATTTCTCCCATCAATTATTGGGTGGCCGCGAGGTCTAGTTTATACAGAAGAGGGAGGACAAGCACTTATCCTTTTAAAACTGTTTTGGTTTTTTTTCGTTTTTTTTTTTCCCAGTACCAGGAATCGAACTCACGACCTTGCACTTACCAGGCAGGCGCTGTGCCGCTGAGCTAAATCCCCAGCCCCCTAAAACTGTTTAAACCTTTAATTGATAAGTAGGATTAATATAATGGGTAATTGTAAATATACCTGCTCTGGGGCTGGGGATTTAGCACAGCGGCAAAAGCGCCTGCCTGGCAAGCGCAAGGTCGTGAGTTCGGTTCCCGGTACCAGAGAAAAACCAAAAAAACAAACAAACAAAAAAAATACCTGCTCTGTTTCTTTTTTGAGACAGGAACTCACTTTGCATTCTAGGTTGGCCTTGTAGACAAAGCTGGCCCTGAACTCACAATAATCCTCCTGCCTCAGCATCCTGAGCACTGGGATTACAGGCAGGAATCATCATACCTGGCTACTCACTACCTTTATGGGCATATTTATGGGGCACAATGATATTCTGATCTACATATACATTGTAGAAAGATTCAACGAAGCTAATTAGTATGTCCATCAACTAATCACCTCATTTTTGAAAAATGCTTAAAAATTTACTTCAGGTTTTTCTTCTGTTTTGAAACAGGCTCTTGGGCCGGGGATATAGCTCAGTGGCACAAGCGCCTGCCTGGCAAGCACAAGGTCCTGAGTTCGATTCCCAGTACCAAAAAAAAAGAAACAGGCTCTTATTATGTTGACCAGACAGGCCTCAGACAAATGCCTCAGCCTCCTGAATACTGGAACTACAGGTATATACTACAGCCAGCTTTTTTTTTAGCATTTTAAAACATATTTATTTATGCAGCTATATATTACTTATCTGAAGTACTAGGGACTGAAGCCAGGGCCACTGCTTTGCCACTGGTTTTTTTGAGATGTGGTCTCACTACGTAGTCCAGGCTGGCCTCAAACTCTTGGTGAACCTCCTGCCTCAGGTTCCTGAGTGCTGGGATTATAGGCATGTGCTACCACCCCTGGCCCCAAGACTTTATTTTTTTGAGATAGGGTTTCAGTAGGCTGCTCAGGATAGCCTTGAACTTGTGATCCTCCTGTCTCAGGTTCCCAAGCAGCTGGAATTACAGGCATGTTCTGCAAGGAAGCCTGAGGCAACCTTGAAATCTGCATATTGTTAATTGTGCTTATCATGCAGTGCAATAGATCAGTACAATTTATTCCTTTAGCTTAAATGAAGCTTTGAACCATCTGATCAACATTTTCCTTTCTTCATACCCCTTCTCCACCAGTCTCTGTTTCTACCTTTCAGCTTCTATTACACAAACTTTTTAGATCCTAAATGTTAAGTACGATTACACAGGGGCTGGGGATTTAGCTCAGTGGCACAGCGCTTGCCTGGCAAGCACGAGGTCATGAGTTTCGATTCCCAGCACCGGAAAAAAAAGAAAAAAAAAAACAAAAAACAAAGTACGATTATACAGTATTCTGGGATTGGCTTATTTCATATAGCATAAAGCACACACAACAAAAAAAGCAAAACTAAACCAGGTGTGTTGGCGCATGTTTGTAATCCCAGCATTCTGGGAGGCTGAGGTAGGAGAATCACTGATTCAAGTTCAGCCTGAGCAACATAGCAAAACTCTGCCTCAAAATAAAAAAATATAAAATGGACTGGGAATATAGTTCAGTGTGAATGCCTTGGGTTCAATGTCCAGTAGCATTAAAAAAAAAAAATCAGTCACATGAAAATGTTAAACATGTCTAATAATCAAGGAAATGCAAACTACAATGAGATATCACTTCATACCTGTTCAAGTGGCAATTATCAAAATGACGAATGGTAAGAAATGATGAGAATATAGGGAAAAGGAACTCTTACACTGAGGGAATGTACATTAGTACAGTTTTTTTGGACAGTAATATGGAGGTTCCCCCCAAAATGTATCTTCTCTTTTTAGCCAGTTTTCAAATCGAGTTGCTCAAAGGCTGGGGATGTAGCTCAGTGGTAGAGCACTTGCCTAGGATATAAAAGGCCCTAGGTTCGATCCTCAGCACCACCCAAAAAAAAAAATAATAATTCACTTTTAAGTACACTCTCAACACCAAAATGTAAATGGCCACACCATACATCACCGAGCAAGTACTGCAATGCTATCAGAGAAACAAAGATATTATGTGCCCGATTAAGTATGTGTCTATTATTTAGTTGTAAGAACATTCTACACACATAAGCACTTCATAAACACCAATTATTAATTTAATGACTAACCTTTTCAAAGTGATGAATTGCAAGCCAAATCTCCCCTTGCGCATTGAATACACAGCCGAGATTACTCCAAGCTACTGCAAAGTTTGGTTGCGTCTCAATTGCTTTCAAATAACACGCCTTAGGAGGGGTTAATGAAAGAAGATGGGAGGGGAAGGAGGTAAAGGGAAAGGGGAAATTTTGTAAAGGGGGAAAAAAAAAGATTGGGGGAGGGGGAAGAAGGTGGTATTATTATTCCTTCTCTGACCAGCCAAAAGTGACCCTGCAGCATAGGCTCGCTTGCGCCAAAACTAATGCGCTGCCACAGCTGGCTGCTCCTGCGCCTGCGCCACCAGAACCCACGTGCAAACCACCATGTTCAGTTCTGCCAACCAATGACCAATCCTTACACTGGGACTTATCTGGGAGGCCGGTTACTGTAAGACTCTAATGCTGGACTTCGCTCACCCAAACAGCTAAGGGCTCTGGTTATGTTTTGAGGTGGCATCTAGAGGGCGCCTCTTAGGCCAAGTATTGCAGAGCATCCTACTGTTTCCCAAAGTGTGCAGTGCAATAGATCAGTACAATTTATTCCTTTAGTTTAAATGAAACTACGAAGTATTAAGAGCCATCACTAGAAAAAAAAAGATTTCATGATAAAATAAATTAGGAAAACAGGGGTATCCTAAGCCTTTAGTAGTATTAAAAGGCTCCCTGAACTTAATTAACCATGGAACTCTCCTCTCATTGAGCATTTTATTAGAATTCTATGAAACACATCCTGGGAAATGCTGCCCTAGGCAATAATGTCCTTCACTAACACTATGCTACTGAGTCAGAAAAAAATGTTGTTAAGTCAGACATCATGAAGCCAGGCTTTAAGTTACAAATCCATGTTGGCCCTATCGTCTACGGGGAGCTGAAGCTGAAACCTCACATGAAAGGACTGCACCTAGGTTGAGGTCCCTGTAATGCGAGCGCAAACATCGCACGCGCCACCTAACAGCATCGCACTGCGCAATCGCTGCGAACTGCTGCGCTACATAGAACACCCCTAGACGCAGCAAACGGCCAACCAGATCCATTAATCTACTAGACAGGCCCGTAGAGAATATTTGTTTAATGAGATTAGTTGGACTCAAGGTATGTTAAAACCCAATTTTATCCAAAAAGGCTACACAATAGGACTGAGAGAGCCAGTCAATCAGATTACTCATCTAGTCAACCGTTCACAGGGGCTCATTCGCACGCAATGCGCATTAACGCTGCGCAGCCTTTGCGCTACTGCAGGGTCACAGCGCATCATCAGAAGAGCAGAATGCTGCAATCCAAACAAAGAAGAAAAAAGGAAAAAATGAACAACAAGAAGAGTTAGAAGCTTTTACTAGTAAATTATCTCTAATAATTTTAATAATTAACTTTTACTTATTTTTGACAGAATTGTGGCTATAGTATAAAACATTCTCTTACATAACTTGCTTGTAAATAAAATTATTTTAAGCTGTTTCTGAAGCCACAAGACAGAAGATTCAGGCATGGAGGCAAATTGTTTTGCTGTGGCAGTTACAAACCCGTTACCATATTTCTCATCATGTGACTTTTCGGTGCGTTCCTTGCTGGAAGAGGAGGAGGAGGTTGTGTGTCTGCCCTAGATCCAGGCCTCGAGCTCCCTTCAGCGAGGCACCTTACGCATGGAATAGGAGGTTTCACCCACCTGAAACCTTCTAAATACAATATCAATGGTGAAAAACCAAAAACAAGAGAGAAAATAAAAACAAGATCATTAGTAAAAGTTCAACAAAGCATTTGAAATTCTTTGGATGTCTATTACATATGGGAATGAGGACAGTCTCAAGTCTGTAACATGGGAAACATGCACAAGGGAGAGGGTTAATCAGGGCTATTGCATACAGCAGGGATTTGTGCTGGAAGAAAGGCTCTTCAATTTCTATAAAGACAACTTAATTTTGCTTCCATCTAGTAGGAATATGCTGGCTTGAATTTTCAAATGCACTGATGACAAAAGAAATACATTGCATTTCACTCAAGAGTATTTTCTTGTTTACTAAGTTCTCACAAAAACCAGAGTAACATTTTTCAAACTAGGTGTCTCCAGAGCTCTGAAATAAAGAAGTCAGCAACCTAAGGCAGGCGCAATGTCTCAGCCTAAACCGATCTCTAAAGCTGCGGTGAAGTGCAATTCATGTTAGCTGTCCGCTTGGTGGGGTGACAATTAATAGGAGTTTATCAAATATTTGTTCTATAAATTACCAATTAGATTTATCAGCTAAGATTTAAATCAATTACAATTCATTAGCTGGAAACCTACATAAGGTTAATCCAAAGTATCAGCAGAATTTACCAGCAACGCACTTAAAACTAGTGCCTTTTAACATTAGATGGTGGTGAAAAGCCTTCTCCCTCCCTGAATGAAACAAACAGACAGCTACGCTGCGCATACACTCCACGCATTAGCATGCGCGTGGGGCTCAGAGCAACAGGTGGGAGTTTCAGAAGCATTCTGGTTTCTCCCCACTCCTCACCCCTGCAGCGCGGTTGCGTAAGGTGGCTTGTAACAAGACAATTGCATTTATAAATTTATTTGTAAATGATACCAAAAGCTTTAATTAACCCAACCTGGTGTTCAAATTATTTATTTGGAAACACAGAATGCTAAAAGCCACCTTTCCACTTTGGCAAGTTTTCTTTCGATCAGTCCATTTCCCAAACAAACCAGCTTTGTCCTTCTGACTTTTTTTTTAAGGAAGTGGGGTGGGGAGGAATAAAAAAAGAAGGAAGTGAGGAAGAAAAGAAGGTAGACAACTAGGATTGGAAGAGGGGAAAAGGAACTTAGGGAGGGAGCGGGGACAAAGGTCAGGATGTTCCAATTATTAATTTGCAATCATTTTAATAGCCTTTCTTCCACTGTAAAAAGGGTAAGGAAGATGAAGGGAGGAAGGTTAAATAAGACTTTTAAATGCCAGTATTACAGGGTAACATTTGGATGAAATTGTTCTCCACTTACAAGCCACAAAGGACTTAGAAGAGCAGCATTTTCAATGGCACCTGCATCACATAGGAGTCTTGAGCCAAAACAGAGATGCTCTGCTCGTTACCAGCAGGCAAGCGCCTCAGATTTGAAGGAATGTTATTTATTCCCACGTTAAGATCATGATAGAGCCCACTGTTATAAAAGATGACCTAGCTCAGCAGAAGGGCTCCACAACGTTCAGGATCCTGCTTTTACCCCCAGATTTAGAACATATATGCCAAAGCCTGGCCCTGCTCTAGTCTGAGGCGAGTTAGGCCAAAAGTTGCCTCAGTTTCATAGGACTGTTTTGTGAGGATACCTCAATGAAGAGTTGAAGACTTGGCAAAAAGTACAAGTTTTCGTAACACTGATGTTTAAATGTGTTCTATCAAACACCTACCTTGGCTTCTTCCAAGCGACCCAGGGCTTTGAGCAGGTTCCCCAGGTCACTGCGAACACAGTACAAATCCTAGAAGGCCAGAAATATCATTAATTATATTCCACTTTGTTGAGCAAAAGTACCCGAAATCACTTCTGTACATCTAGCTCCTGTCATTTTGCTTGACAAACTTAAATGCATGACCACCACCCTCATCTTCAATTCCAAATCCCAAAAGTTCCAAAACCTCACTTGGTTAAACCTGACCTCAATGACAGGACATTTATAAAATTCACTTCTCTTGCTTGGAATAAACATTCATTTCTTTTTTGGTTTTTCTCCGGTACCGGGAACCGAACTCACGACCTTGCGCTTGCCAGGAAGGCGCTTTTGCCGCTGAGCTAAATCCCCAGCCCCAACATTCATTTCTTTTGTTGTGGAAATATAAATGTGTTCTACTCTAACATGCTGCTCCAGACCTGGCTAGGTCTAATAATATACAGTATTATTTTCTACAACCCTGCAAATTCTGAATTTTGAAATGCATTTAGCCCCATCAGCTTCAGATAAATGACTATGGGACCTTACAAGAGCCTCTCTCCTCTCCAAATGTTGGTTGTTTAAAAAAAAAAAAAAAAAAAAACGATTGAATATTTATTCAGCTGTTTTATTCCAGGTTATGATGAATCACTCCTGCATCAAGGACCAAAAATTTTCCACAGCGGGGAAAACAATACTGCACTTAGCAAGCTATTACCTATCAACAAACCTAACCTTTGGCTCTCAGGCATTTAGAAACCTTGACTTCATTTCACTCTTAGGCAGAAGGATTACCGTCCAACCACAGTCGCAATCCTGACACCTGCCACTAGATTACTCATTAGTATTAAGTGCCATCAGAGTCGAGTGGGTGAATAATGAAAAGCAGTTGACTCTGCTTTTTATTAGCAATTCAATTGTGTTGCTAGTCATCTGACTCACCAGTCCGTTCATCAGTATGAGACACTCATCACAACAGTGAGTTTGAATTTTTATTTGCCTTAGCTTGCTTTTGTCGGTAGAATCTATCAGTCAACAAGCAGAGATAATGACAATATAAAGCATGCCTAAGATTCCAAACTTCCAAGGGCAAAAGAACCTTAAATTAAGTCCTAACAAACTACAATTTTGTCAACTGTGCCAAAGAATCATCACATACATTATTCCCTCTACAACAGGGTTATGGTCTCTAGAATCAGTTGATTAATGTTACTGATAAACAGCTTTTGTAATTGTATTTCTTATCCAGTAAGTCTGCCAATAAAGTATAGGAAACCACAAAACACTCGTGGCTGAGTGTGGTGGTGCAGCACTCTGTAATCCCAGCATTCTGAGAGGCTTCAGCAGGATTACAAATTCAAGGCAGCCTGGGCAATTCAGCAAGACCCTGCTGGGATGGAGCTCAGAGCAAAGGCCCTGTTTAAATCCCCAGTACAAAGATAAAGATAGCTCGCGCACTCACTCATGGTTGGCCGCAGTGGGTCAGCTCAAGCAATGACTAATGTTTTGGGTTGTTTCTCCAAACTTAAAGCACAGGCCAATACTAGTCTTCAAAATATCATAGGTATAATTAATCTTATTACAGATTTACCAATCCTCTAATTAGTCTAAGCACTTTTGAACCATATATATATACTCTTGCTATCTACTTTGAATTCTCTACCTTGCTATCTAACTGTGTAGTTTTATACCCCACCCCCAAATTGTAAGGGTAAGTTACTAATCCAGTATGTTCACGCAATCTCCTTCTACTTGTTAACTGTGGTTATACATCTTTGGATTTAACTTTTGGCCCTTTCAGGGCCATAGTAATCAGAAGTCCAGCAATAATACCAGTGAATGCTACAGCTACGTGTTTTAGCCAACTGTTGTATATTTTTACCCTCTAATTTCTAAAAACTTTTGGATGGATGTCTTCCATGCCCTAACAGTGTATCTAGCTATATTTAGTTGTATCATCTTGATCCATTACAGCATGCTAATTCAAGTTAGTACAATGTCCATAAAAAACAAAAATATCTTTGCCAAGTGTGGTATAACACCTGTAATCCCAGCACTCTGGGAATTGAGACAAGAGGACTGGAAGTTCAAGATATCTGAGCAATCTAGACCTAATCTTGAAATCAAAATTTAAAATAATTATAAAGGGCTGGGGGTGTAGCTCAGCATAAAGGCCCAGAGTCAATTCCCAGTAGTGCCAAAAAAGGGTGGGGGGGAGTAGAGTACCTTCAAGATTACCATAAGAAATCAAGAAAGCAGTATTTTAAAAAGGTAAAACATGTCACCAAATAGTGGAATCCAATTTTCTCACCTGAAAATTCAGAGACAGACAGACACACGCACGCACCCATAATTTCTAAAAATTCCAAAGATACTACCATTCTCCCCCAAAGTTCAAAACCTAAGATCTTAAATTCTCCTTGCCTGTCAAACACAATCACATTCCTAAAACTTGGCCTACTTTACCTACCCCAGGGTTTATGCAAACCTTTATTCAATTCAATAATAAGCTTAAAACTCTAGGGAAAAGAAATTAATTGAATTCTTATCAAGGGGCATGCAATCTAATCAGAAAGACAAGGCACACACAAACTAAACACTCACACAGTAGTACAGAATTTTGAGAGAAATAACTGAGCTCAACGGATAAATTTAAGCAGGGACAGAAGGATGAGTTGGGGTGTAACAAAAGAGAAAGCCATTGTAAGCGAGGGAAAATAGTCTGAATGAAGACGATCTCCCCGTGTAACTACCCCTCTGGAGATAGCAATTGCTTCCTGACTTTCCTCCTAGCAGCCCAACCCTTACCCCCTCAAACATCTCTATATATATACATACACATGAAGCAAAATCAGGTCGGTAAAAACCTACAGTAGTTTTCAATTGCCTCTCAAATTAAATTAAAACTCCTCAGCCTCTCCGTTCTTTTGAAATCTTCCAATTGACTCTGCTCTGCTACACTCACTTCTTGTTACTACTTGACTCACCACTTCAGCCAAGGAAGTCTACTTGCTATTTACCTTCCTACAGAATGCTTAGGTTATAAGCACCCACTTGAGGACATCTTCTGATTAATACTCTCCAACAATAATCATCCAAAGAGCTTACATCTTCTTGTCCTTATGGGTCGAACCGTCTCAGGACTGCAACCTTTTCCCCCTATAACACATCTCCCCAATTTCTAGCCAAGCATTTGTACAATAAGCACTCGTATATCTAAATGTGACATCTGCAAGACAACCTTAACAAAAAGCAGAACAGAGGGGTTTCTATGATTCAGCTGTGTGAGGTTCACGATAACAATAAATAATATGACAGTAACACACAGTAGATGTCAATAACTCTCAGACTGCACATCCATCATCAAAGCAGAAGCAATGCTTCAACAACCCATAGGTTGCTGGGCACAGTGGCACATGCCTGTAATTCCCAGCACTCAGGAGGCTGAGACAGGAGGATTATTGCAACTTCAAGGCCAGCCTGGGCTACACAGTAAATTCAAGGCCAGCCTGAACTGTATGATGAGACCCTGTTTCAAAAAACAAAAACAAAAACAAAAACACCAGTCGGGTGTGGTGGCACACACCTGTTATCCCAGCACTCGGGAGGCTGAGGCAGGAGGATCATTGCGAGTTCGAGACCCGCCTGGGCTACAAAGTGAGCTCAAGGCCAGCCTGAACTGCACAGCGAGACCCTGTCTCAAAAAGACAAATAAAAAACCACCACCATGGGTTCTGAAACTGATGTGATTAGGGTAACTCAGGGCTACACCCAATATACAAAGGACAATTTTAACCCATAATTCATAAAGGGGATTACTGGGTATGGGCAACTCTAGTGAGGCATCATGTGAAAGAACACCAAATGCAACAGCATCTATAACTATGAAGTAAAATTTTACCATTGAACTATTGAACCATACAACATTACAAAAAACAACTGAGAATATAAAAACATGAAACTTCTACATGTTACAAAGGTCATTAAACTTAATCAAGTGCCATAATAACACCCAAATCGACACATCTATCAAAAATTAAACTGCTGAAAATATAAAATTACCTTAACATTTTAATTTTTCATTGCTGCAAAGCCAAAATAACCTGAGCTTAACTCTTTCTTTTTGTTTGAGACAGGGTCTCACTATGTAGCTCAGGCTGGCCTTGAACTCACAGTGATCCTCCTGCCTCAGCCTCTGGAGTGCCTCTGGGATTGCAGGCATGTGACACCATGCCTGGCTTTTAACTGTTTTTCACAGAATGCCAAATGAATCCGTAATTCAAGTCCTCAATGTACTAATAATGCATTTACGCCCAGGTTTAAGGTTCTTAACTTTAAGAACACAATGTAATGTCCAAGTGTGGTGGTACATGTCTGCAATCTGACCACTTGGGAGGCTGAGGCAGGAGGATCACTGTGCGTTCAAGGCCAGCCTGGACTACATAAGCAAGTTCAAAGCCACCCTGAACAACTAGTGAGACCTTGTCTCAAGAAAACAGAACACAATGTAAGAAACAGACAATGGGCATCCTACAGTTAAATTTAAACCTAGTTGAGATTAGATACCCTGATATAAACTGAAACATGATCGCCATTGGTATATTTAGGTGAACTCAAAGGCATTTACACCATCTCATTTTCATGCACACTGGTAAGAACAGAGAACTAAAGTAGCACCTTCTACTAGAAACATACACCCATATGGGAACACACAACTGTTCAACGCCATCCAAAGATAATCCCATGGGGCTGGGGATTTAGCTCAGCGGCAAAAGCGCCTGCCTGGGAAGCGCAAGGTCGTGAGTTCGGTTCCCGGTACCGGAGAAAAACCAAAAAAAAAACAACAAAACAAAGATAATCCCATGATTTTAGCACTACCTTGCTTCCTTGATAGGGCATAATAGCTTCCTATAAATAGGTTAGATATTAAATAGAATGGTTCTGTCCCCCACTTTAGTTTTCTCATCTCAAGATGAGAATCTCAAGATTCCTGTGGCTTGGTATACTGTCAGTAGCAATGACTGCTCTAATGCCCACATAGGCAAATAAAAATCTGATGGGGCTGGGGATTTAGCTCAGTGGCACAGTGCCTGCCTGGCAAGCGCAAGGTCGTGAGTTCAATTCCTCGTACCAGAAGAAAAACAAAACCAAAAAAAAAATTCTGAGCCAAGGTGATCAGAGTTAAAAACTAGTCAAGACTACAGTTGTGTGAGAGAGTGCACTTACACTCCAGCAACAACTAAAGTGTGGAACCAACCCTGGTTAATAAAGGGAAAGTGTGGGCCGGGGATATAGCTCAGTGGCATAAATGCCTGTCTGGCAAGCACGAAGTCCTGAGTTCAATTCCTGGTACCAAAAAAAATAAAAATAAAGGGAAAGTGCCAGGGATATAGCTCAGCAGAACAGTACCTGCCTGGCAAGCACGAAGTCCTGAGTTTGATTCCCAGGACCAAAAAAATAAATAAAACAAAGGGAAAGAACTTGGTGCATGTACTGTGACAACTGGGGGCTCAAGTGAACATCAAAGCTTGGGAAGAATGAGGTCCAAGCCCTAGCAGTGACACACACAAGGCTGCCTAACACTTCCTGTTGTAACTAGAGGTACTTCAATAAAAATTACAAAGTTGAATCTATTATTTATA